TGTAGCTTATTGGGAGTAATATGGGTACGACCTGGTTACCCTTGATTGTTGCACTAACTTTAGTGAAGAGACCTTGAGCAATGTGTTCTGGCCGCCGCTGATTCAATTTCAGGCCATTGTTGGGAAGACGTTTTCAGTTTGGCGGCCCTGAAAATACGGGACCGAATCCAGACTATCCCTTTTAAAGGAATGCCCGTGGCCTCCCGGGGCCCTCAGTAAAGTGGGACCCTTGTGGACCCTTATTGAGGACGTCTCATCGAAGCCCCTGTTGTTGGGGGGGGCCTAAGTTTAAAGAGAGTGCAACATTACAGGGCAGGATTTCAACATTCGGAAGGTGGCAGGCGCGATCAACTCTTCTGACTTTTGAGAACCGTGTGCACGAAGCATGGCTTGATGCACACAATTTGCCATGCCCCATCAAGAAATGAAGAGAGCCGCTCTTGCCGCTGCGGAAAAAAGCAACACGTCATTCTCCATCTGGCTTTCGGTTTTGACGGGGCAGCTACTGCTACTGGTCTGCTTGTGGAAGCTTCCAAACAATTAGGGGCACGCTCTGGGGATCCCAATAATAAGGATTGTAGTATTTTGGGGTCTACATTTGGGGTCCCATTACCTTGGGAAACTATGTAGGCCATGAACTGGAGGCTAGCATAACAACTGCGCCTGGTCTCTCCCAGAGATCTGCAAGTTGGACCTGGCAGACAGGACAGATGGAGATCCCGTTATAGGGCTTTTCGGAAATAGGGGTTTAGGGTTTAGGGCAGGGGTCCCTGCAACAAGGATCCTAGTTCTATCATTTTGGGTTCTATATTAGGATCCTTCTATGTTTGGAGACTAGATTACCAGGGTAATGTCCTTAACTTAAATTATCCATATTACCCCTCATCGTTGGGGAAATAGAATCCCCACATAGCCCTAGATTCTATGTTCTTTCCCATGTCCTGTGATTCTGCATTTTCAGGGTAGCATCCTTAAAACGCCTGATATCTCTATGTAATCCACATATCCCTGAGCCCTAAACCCTAACTCCTAGATAACCCCTAGATCCTCCATGTCCCTCCGGCCTGGTAACCGGATCAAAATGGTGTGGATTGTCTGGCTCTTGATGCTGCAAACCCTCAACCCGAAACCGTTTGGCTTGTTGAATGTTTTGCTAGTTGTTGGTTGGGAGCTTTGGACTGCAGGCTTCAAACGGCGAGGTTCAGAATCACTGCCCTAGACGCCAAACCGTGCTTTACTTCTTTTATCTAACCCCCTCGGACTACGGTTCAGGGAAAACCTAGAGACAAATTAACTGACAAAGAAAGAAAGAGACGTAAACTGCTTGAGACAACCCGTAGGATTAGTCACATCTCAGAGCCGCACAAGGCGTCGGCAGCAATGCAGAAGACATGCGGAGGAAGGACCTCAGCCGGCCAATGAGGCTGAATCCTTTGAGCCCCTGGGTTGCCAGTAATGGAACTTAAAAATAGTTACCATAATATGGGTGTGTATATATATATATATAGCAAATGATAGGGTTCCTTTTCATAGTAATTGAAACTAGGTTCCTCGACAGCAACCCCCTTGAGCCGGGCGGGTTCATCGGCAGTACAAAACCATGCTGAGAAACTGACTTGCAATTCTGAAGCGAACCTGCTAGCAAGGGCTCGTCAGACAAAACCCTTTACCTGTCCCCAAATTGGCCATAACATAGGTTCCCTGTTTGGTTAGGATCCCTTTTTAAGGAAGTGTATTCCCAATGGCTCCTTCTTTACAAGGACCTTTAGCACAAAACCCCATATATACCCATGTGAGTCGCAGGGCTTCATTGAGCTCGCATACATAATCAGCGCACATACATATACATAGAGAGAGAGAGAGAGAGAGAGGGAGAGAGGTCCCCATGGCATGTCCCATTTGTGTTGGGAAAACAATATAATCCCTTAATAATCCCCATAAAATACATTCCCTTATTCGCTACTATACCCCAGCAAGTACACCTTAATATGTCCACTGGCTCCATAGCATGCGCCTGTACTTGTCCAGGACCTCTGAAGAATAAAGTGGCAAAGCCTGCGGCAAGGTCATGCTAATGCCAATCCCCTAGACGGTTTACATGTGGGGTTTAGACTTAAGGGTTAAGCATGGGGGTTTAGACTTAAGGAATATGGGGAATGGAAAAGACAATGAAAACTAGCATTATTTTTGGAAGGTTACATGCAGTGATGGGCTGAGCAGCGGTTGCACAATGTTTCCTGGTTGGTTGAAGTTAGGTGGCGATCAAGGGCGAGGGAGCCCTGGAAGGGAACCCTAATCCCGTTGCCTTCTGTGACCGTTATGGAGTCCTCACCTGCTCCCTAACAAACCAGGTGGTCCCAATACTACCTCCCATAGCCTCCATAAAGGGTCCCTCCTAAAGACCCCTAACCCTAAACCCCTAAACCCTAAACACTAAACCCCAAAACCCCTAAACCCTAAACCACACATCTCACCATCCCTCAAGCCAGGCCCTGCCCGCTGGTCAGCTTGCAGTACAAATAACTCGTGCGCAAGGCACAAAAACATGTTCGGTATGTCTGACAACAGAAATCAATGAGGTTCACCAGCATCAGTCACGCCAAAAAGTCAACCCTAATTTTGAGATACACCCATTCAACAGATGTCATTTCAGGCACCTGAAATGGATTCACTGCCAGGAGAATGCGGGAGACCCACGTGTAGATGACTTGCTTCAGGAAGCGCGCCTTGCACCAAGCTCTCTAGGACAGGACCTTGCAAACTCTTTCAGCTATGTCTCGCCATCAGCTTCATGGATTCATCTCTCCTCCCAGGATGAAGTGTATACATATATACAAACAAACAGGGTGAACAAGATATAGTAATATTAATATATCATAAGTATCTATGTTTATGGGGTTATAGAGGGGAAATAGGTCCTTGGTTGTTTCAAGGATCTCTCATCTGGCGCCTGTCTACAGTCCCACTCAGGAGCCAGCACGCACAGTCTGCAGCAGCGCGGCTTTCGTTACCGTATCCAGCAGACAAACGTTTTCGATTCCGACCACCTGCCCGGCTGCCCAAGAAGTGAAGTAAAAATGTGAGGGTATATACGCAGTGTATAAATATTTGTATATACATATATACATATGTATGTATATATATGTGTGTATATATGTATATATACATGTGTGTATTTATGGTGTTCGCAAGGCTTTGGCAAGTTACCAACATCAATATCCAGGATGACATTCCAGGCGAGGAGTGCTTTTTTGGTAGGCGAAAAGAGTAAGATGATGTCCTTCTCCAGGTTGGCCCCTAAAACCCATTGAAAAATGTTAGTATATATGGTCCCCTATTAACGCCATTAGGGAAAATATTACATATTCCCGGGGCCTACCCAGTTCTCATAAACTTCCACATCCCAAAGGGGGATAAGGTGTTACTCTGTCTTTGGGAGTCTTGCATCCCAAAAAAAACTTGGTACTCATATGAGCTATAGTCTAAACTCCTAGTATCCCCCTTAATAAACCCTACAGTAACCCCCCGTTAAGGAGTTTAGACTGTGGCTCATATTCATCTAGAACAACACGAGACCATGTGAGTACTGTCTTTTTTGGTGGTTGAAACTAGTAAGATCTACATAAAATACTATACCCCAAAAGGAGGATAGAATCTTACTCTGTATTGGGTACCATAGTATCCCCAAATAGAATTTCTAGAGCTATAATAGAATACAACCGCTATATAATCCCAGCTTCCATTTCATTTTCCATTTTCTTTTCCATTTGATTCTCCATTATAGGGGTAATATTACCCTAATGTATCCCCAAATACAATACTACTCTTGTAGACTTACAGTGCTACAAGCAAGCTCACTCCTGCCTGCTGCGGCTGTACTTCTTCCAAGTCATTGAGGCCTGCTGCCGCCACTTCAAAAGCCTGCACTGCCCATGGAAATCACATCCCCAAATACTATTTTAGGGTTTGGGGCTTTAGTTTTTAGGGTTTTGGGGTTAGGGCTTAGGGTTTAGGGGGATCCCCCAAAACGTACCGCTAATTTTGGGAAACCCTAAACAATCTCCTGTATATCCCAGTTTCCATTTCATTTGCCATTGTCTTTTCCATTTGATTCTCCACCATAGTAGGTACCCCTAATTTTGGGAAACCCTAAACCCTATATATATATATATATGGTACCCCCCCCACCTCCCCAAAACCTACCTTTTACATGAATTCATAAGGTCCCCCCCCCAAAACCTA